TGAGAACTATCATAATTATTCATTATCATACAAGCTACGAGCGATATGCTAGTTCTGGTTTCGGGCGACGGAGTGATGTCGCTGGCGCATTCTACAACCGTAAAGCATCACACGAACATGCCAACAACTGAATGTCGATAATGCGTTGATAGGGGGAAAAAAGACGTTTCCTCTTTTTTTGTTAAACGTTTCAAGAACTACGCCGCTGAAGCGGCCATGATTACAACTAGTTTGGAACAAATATTCAAAGCTTAAAGCGTATTTTATGCGCTGTAATCGACACCTAACGTTCGTTGACTGACAGAAATTCAATCACTATATGTAAAGAGCCGGAGTTGCATTTTTCCCCTATACTTGTTATATGTTGCCTAAACTTGCTGGAAGGTAGTGGTTCTTGTTAGCCTTTTATTTTTTAGTGAAGGCTATTGATGTTGTGCAATAATTACAATAAACTAGAAGACGTATGGATTTTTGTTAAACACGAAAAATAAATAAATGAGCGCTTTAGGAACGGCACCGAGGAAATTAGAGGAAACGTGATTCGGCTCACAGGCCGGAAACCGTAAGTCATTTAATTGCAAATGAGCGTGGTGCACCGTGTGGAAGTACTCTTCGTCTGGCTTGACCACCGCCAAGAAGTCGAAGCCGGAGCCAAAGAACTCTGCCACCACAGTGGAAACTGAACAAAAAAAAAGGTGGGAAAATAAAAATAAAATATAACGAAAGAAAAAAAAGCAATTAAAACAAGATAGAAAAAAAGTGCAGCCAGATTCGAGAGTACACTAAAGTGCAGAGGCAGTCGTGTGATCAGAAGTGGTCCCGATCAGAGAGCATAGTACGAAGTGGGGAACTACCAAAAGCAAGAAAGAAAGGAAAGAAAGAACAGAAAAAAAATAAATTTGGGTGACTGTGGGTGGTGAAAGCACTGATTGCACCGCACGTGGTTTGGGTGCCGCAAGCATTAGCTAGGTTGCGCACGTATTTCAAGATGTGATGAGCGAAGAGAAATGAATAAGAAAGTTAGGCACAGTGTTAACGTAAAAATACCGCAGTATTACGAGAGATCAACATTTCCTGTTTTCTTCTCCGGCGTCAATTCTTCGCTTTTTAATTGGAACCGCAGTAGTAATGACCATGTAAAAGATGCCGGTGTTTCCAAGCTGTTCTTTAGACCACATACTTAACTACTTTTTTCCAGGTGCAGCCCATTGATCAAAGACACAATGCCGATAGTGATAAAAACACAATAAATTCAATGAGCTGTACGAGTGCAGTACACACTGATGAAAGCCAGGGACATTAACCCAGGGGTGCTGTGCATCATAGGCAAACGCGTTCTCGGGCAGACGCGTTTTCTCCGAGCTCGCTCTACGGCAGCCATGGCATGGAGACAGTTCGGAGCACGTGATAGCAACGATGATGAAAATGGCTACAGGAACGTGGCGTTGGAAATGCATGTAGGAAAATTGCGGCGGTTATCAAAGAAACACCGCGCGCGAACTCGTCAGCGCCGCCACACAGCCAACATTTTAACAGCGCAGCAATTTCAGCGTGATTGTCGCGCTATCTTCTTGAACACGCGCCTACATCAATATATATGAATATCTATGCTACGAAAAATAACAGTTTAATGTTTAGTCTTTTCTTGCGCTAGATCAAATTGATGACAAAACAATAAAAATGTAGTATGCTGTGGTTATACAATGATATCTCTATTAAAATACAAGAAGTGGCAGTGAATTGTTGCTAATCATAAAATAATAGATAATTAAATGCAAAATACATTGCATTCAAATTGATTGATGAAGTCACTAATGTGTGATGATTTTGAAATTGTTCAACGGGTATACAGCGAACTGCGCAATCACGCAGGGCGGAATAAGAAAAAAAAATAGCAATGAATTCAGATGTTTTTTTTTTTTGTTGTTCTTCGTGCTTGCGTAGCAGGCTATTTGTTCAATGGTATGAACCAACTAGCTTGCAAAAAGTGCGACTGAAATTGTTACTTGCGATACCGAAAAGCAATTACAATCGTTTCATGCGCGCGGTTTGTAGGGTTTCCGGAACAATTCGGTTTTAGACGACGGAATACCGGCCTGACGAGCCTGATCCGAACGTGGCGAGAATATTAGCCTAACGTGTCCAGCCTTTGACCATAGCCCTGCGCGTTGGGAGAAGCGCGCATGCGCGCACATGCATCCGCCCAGAGTGGTCAAAAAGGTTGACGCGTGTGTCTCGGAAAATTAAACAAAACTGTTCATTGGTCGACGTTTTGATCGGTCTCCGATCGAAACGGCGACCAATAAACATATTAAGCAGTAAATGACAATACAATACTGGCGAAGAAATTTATGCTTTTTATAAAAAGCGCTAAACATGCGCATATTGCAGTTTTTCGCCAAATTGACAAATAAAAAAATAAACAAAAATCAGTAAACTTTCACAGCGATGAGAGAGTATCGCCTTGAGATAAAGAAAAAAAATTCTTATAATTACTCAAACCATTGATATTATATAAATGATTTAGCGTGACACAGTTTCACTTCAGTGCCGAAAGTTCGAAGCGCCCTTTAGGCAACACGAAATTTTTATGAGGAATATAACGCCCAAATTGTTACTTCTCACATTCGCATGTACCTCCACGATGTTTTCAGCATGATCGGAGATGGTCAAATATTGGTGTATATTTATTGTTGTAGCAAGAAAATAACGCTGGCCCCGGTGGAATAGGAAAAGGAGAGTATGGCGCACGTTGGTTTTGCACGTTATATTTTCTTATGTTTTGGCTGGTGGACAAGCCGAAACGTCAGAAAGATATATATATATATATATATATATATATATATATATATATACTATATATATATATATATATATATATATATATATATATATATATATATATATATATATATATATATATATATATATATATATAACTCATCCCCTGATGAAGGGAGGTCCCCTCCCGAAACTGTTGGGAATAAATATATTTATCCTTGTTGACAACGCTCCCGTTGTGCCATATCCCATACCTTCACGAAGACTAACTGGCCCATTGAATTATTACTCCCACTATATATATATATATATATATATATATATATATATATATATATATATATATATATATATATATATATATATATATATATATATATATATATATATATATATATATATATATATATATATATATATATATATATATATATATATATGTGTGTGTGTGTGTGTGTGTGTGTGTGTGTGTGTGTGTGTGTGTGTGTGTGTGTGTGTGTGTGTGTGTGTGTGTGTGTGTGTGTGTGTGTGTGTGTGTGTGTGTGTGTGTACATAGTCCTACGTAATTTTAACCAGAGTTTAAAAATATGCCAGGACACGTAATCACGACGCGACTAAATGCATATTACTCACCGTTACCAGAGTTAGCCAGACTTTTTTGTGTTCTCAAATACTGCTCAATTAGATATGTTTAATTAACCAACTTTTCAATAAACGAAGACAGGATTAAAATTTCAAGGAGAAAGTTGTAAATCGGTTTGAAAAACGTCTGATTAGACAGTTTTGAATTTTACATCTGTTAGGTATTAGGGTTTTTCTGGTAATTACATATGCCCGCGAAATACAAAAAAATACCACGTGACAAACCTACTCTTGCGCCAATGCGCGCAATGATTCTATTGCTGCCTAGCGTTCCGCTTACGAACGACCATAGCATTTGCCCCATTGTGCTGTCTCGGCAGGGCTGCAACGATGGTGGTGGCGTTACGATGAACACGTTTTGCTATCGGTCACAAAAACGATAACCGCTCTGACTGCTTATCGCTGTCATGAACCGGTGCGAGGGAAGCGTGTCGTTCGTACGCGAAACGTTAGGGAGCACTAGAATCATCGTGCGCACTGACGCGCGAGCGAATTGTCACGTGGTATTTTTTTTTGTATTTCGCGGGCATTTGCAATTAGCAGAAAAACACTAATTGATTGATATGTGGGGTTTAACATCCCAAAACCACCACATGAATATGAGAAAAGCCGTAGTGGAGAGCTCCGGAAATTTCGACCACCTGCATGGGGTTCTTTAACGTGCACCCAAACCTGAGCACATGGGCCTACAACATTTCCGCCTCCATCGGAAATGCAGCCGCCGCAGTCGGGATTCGATCCCGTGACCTACGGGTCAGCAGCCGAGTACCTTAGCCAGTAGACCACCGCGGCGGGGCAAAAACACTAATACCTAACAGATATAAAGTACAAAATTTTCTACTCGGACATTTTGCAAACCGATCCACAACTTTCTCATTGAAAATTTTTATCTATATTCGTTTCTTCAAAAAGTTAGTTAATTAAACATATCTAATTAAACAGTAACTGATAACACAAAAGATAGCCTGACTAACTTCAGGCAACGGTGAGTAACATGCATTTGGTCGCGTCGTGATTACGTGCTCCGGGATATTTTAAAACTCTGGCTGAAGTTAAGTGGGACACCCTGTATACATTACTTGAGTGTTTGTACTGACCCCAAATAGCTGCACGAGCGCGGGTAACAGTCGCCTTTGGTGGTATATCCTAGCCTGAGCGCTGGTTGCTCTTTCCGTTACATCAGTAACGCAGCTAAGTTCGGTAGCAGTTCACTTGTATGCATACACGTGCCTAAGCTAACCGCACAGTCGTCTAAGGCTGTCTGATCAGATGGCAGCACGTGTACACGCTCACCAGTCCAGCGAACGATCTGTGGGAAAACTGGTGCAACGTTGTCGCTGTCAACGCGGACTTCCAGCACGTGGCGTTTCAGTATAGGCGACCGCTTCTTACAAAAGGCCCCAGTTCTTCGATCTTTCCCACTGGATTGCAGCACTACACCAGTAACCGTGCACGTGCCGAAAGTTCTAAATGGGCGTTGCTTGCGATATCTTGGCAAGCTCGCCAGGGGGTGTGTGCGAGGCAGTACATAAGGCAGAGCCTGAACCAAAGGCGGTTTATTGCGTTAACAAGAAGCTGCCGCTCGCAGTTCGCAAGACGAAGCGTCGGTCGCCAGAGAAGTTGTCCTCAGTCTAAGCAGCAGTTGTTTCGCGTCTGTGCGAGTTGTGAGGCGACATTACGCAAGAAGTCGTGCACAAGCTGAACGCCAGGAATGTGTGCCGCTGTCGAGACCGAACTTATTTCCGGGAATTCAAGTAAGTTTGGCGCGATGTTGTCGGCACAGCCTAGCCATGCAATACACCGTTCTCAACTCTTGGTAATTTATTAACGTGATAGCGTTAGAGAGCTCGTATCGCATAAAACCCGCCGCCGGCGTCGGCCCCGTTGGTTGTGAGCGAAAAATCGTCTGTGCGTCTGTGACTGAAAAATCAAGTTACCGAAATAGCCGCGGGAGGCCACTACTTGTTCACGCGTGCACGCGCGATCTCATTGAAAAAGCCGTGCGTTCGAGGGAAAAAAAAGTGCTCAAGTCACGAGGCGAGGTAGTTTCTTTGCCGTGCCATCCCTCCCTACTTAACTTCCAGCGCTTTCGTGGGGACGAGAGAAGAGAAAATGCAATTGCAGCATTCGACAAACCTTTGTACCTCCACTCACACTGGACGGACTCTTAACATTTTTGTGGCGTTGACTTCGTGAGGCAATAAGCTTTTCTAGTGAATTGATTCCATGGTTACTCGAAAAAGTGTTTCAGGGCCCCTTCAATGCATTTCGTTCGACAGGTGTCACGACGAAAACGAGCCCATTCGGCGATAATAGCGCGCGCTGGTCCAATCTACTGTGTGCGTGTTTGTGTGCGTGCGTGTGTATGTAACAAAACATACCGCTAAGTATGCACTGAGCGGTTGAAGGGTGCACCAGGAGCCGGATTTCGCTGTCGCGTTCAGTTCTTAAAGGCGAAGCTCAAGGGATCCCCAATTTTTATGTAGGATGTTACGTCCCAATCCCAAAACCGTGGTAATATCATGACAGACGCCGTATAGTAGAAGGCTCCAGAGATTTCGACCATCTGGTGTTACTTGACGTGCGCTGATATCGCACAGTACAAGGGCCTCTACCATTTCGCCCGCATCTAAATGTGACCGTCGCGACCGGGATCGTACCCGCGACCTTTGAGGTCGTTCCTAACTCTTTACCACGCGATGAATTTTACTGATAAGTGTAGTACCCTCACTGTCGTCCCCAGGATGGTAATTGTGTTCTTTGCTTTCTTGTAGCCGAGTCAAATCTCTCATTACTTGTGGAATAACTGCGCTCAAGTCGTCCTGCGCGCCTGTCTTTTTATAGTTCATTCATCTGAAAGTCTATTTAACAGAGGGTTGACCACGCTCGAATTCTTTAGTTAAATCGAGAAGTTCGTAATCTACGGAAAAGGGATATTGTGCTTCTTCTGCATCTAGAAATTTAACATAGCCACACCCGAAAGCTACCGCGACGCTGTGTTTACCGCTAACAAACACCTGCGCGTGCACAATGCCTGCGAGGACCACCCGGAGGTGGAGCCTTTCGCATCGGCCGGATATGGCGCCTCCAAAATCCGGCCGATGCAAGCCAGGTAGTTTTCGCGCGAGGCTAAGGCAGGCTGACCAAAAGGTGGGGAGAACGAACGCAATGATAGTGAGCCAACCGATTATGAAAGTTGCGACAAGACGGTCAATGCCATGTGTCGCGAAAAATTGTGGTTTAACGAAAGCGAATATCGCAGTGTTCTGGAAGAGGCATCGTTTACAGGTATCATACACCACCGCTGCCTTCAGCGCCTGGGTGCGGCTTTCGGCATCGTCAAAATAAAGCTGAGGTAACGAGTGTAATGAGTGCGGCCGATAATTCTAACGCAATACGATAGCGTCAGCGGACACTGTTCAAGAAAAGCCCACTGTACCTTAATTAGAATAAACGTTAATTTGGATACTCGCTGCGATGGTATAGTGGATGTGGTGCTCGATCGCTGACCCGCAGGTCGCGGGAACGAATCCCTGCTGCGGCGGCCGCATTGTCAGTGGAGACGAAAATGCGTGATGCGCTGTTTACTTAAATTGCGTGAACGTGAGAAAAAAAAAAAAAAACCCAAGCTGGTCGAAATTTCCGGAGCTCTCCACTGCGGCGTCACTCGTGCTGTGGTTTTGGAACGTTAGACCTCAATTTTTATTCGTTAAGTCGGGTTTGGTACCACAGTTCATCCTGGTTATGACTACGTTGCACTTTGTGAACACCTAATATCTTCGTCGGATCGGGCACTTCGAGAAACTGGGTTTTGTTAGATCGAATTTTAACTGTACATACATCCGTGCCGAATGCCCTTGCCATGCATGTTCTGTGAAAACCCGATATATTCCGCGCAATGTTCTTGTAAATATCACTTTTTGTGTGTGTGTGCAAGTCTGCGTGTTCTGTTAAACTATGGTGGCCAAGAAACCCACGATTCACACTGCACGCTTTTTTTTTTCTCGCAGGCGTAGCCATCGCGGCGGGTCCCTGGTCGGCATCGGGTGCGCCGGCCATGTCCGGGCAGCTGGTCAACTGGATGCACCGCATGCTGCCCTTCAGCAAGAACACTCGCAGCCCCCAGCACTGCAACGCCTACGACCACGCTTCCTCCAACGCCTCGCCCTTGCACTGCGCCTCCTCGCGTGAGTCTGTGTAGCTGCGTATTACATCCGCGGAACTGCGGGCATCCGAGATTTCCCTCCCGTTCTCGGAGACCGTAACGCAACAGAAGTTATTCATATAGAAAGAGTTCTATAGCTCGGCAATAGTTGCGCTATTTCGACTGGCATAGTTAGTTCCATACTCATGAATTGAAGTGACAGAAAAAAAAAACTGTTTAAAAAGTATACGACCTACCGTATCTATACAAACGTGAAATACTAAGCTGACACATGCCGAGATCTTAATGTACTGGCAAAATTACGCCCGGTGGGTGGGGGGGGGGGGGGCAAGCTTCAGGTTGATCAATTGTATTGAGAATCTGAAAGGCCACGTACTTTTTCCAGACGTAACAATTGTTTTTAATCCGTGCATGGTGCACAACTCGTCGTTCACATGTATGCCAGACCACTACACTTGAAACTCGCGTAGGTTTTGTGTATACCATAATTTGCGTCGTCGTCGTCGCCATATTGGGGTACCGCCATCCCCCGACAACCAGGATTTTCTTCACCAAGCAAAAGATATTTGAGTAATTACTAGGTGAAATGAGCTTCTGTGACAAGTTAACGCGTGCACTTAGTGATGCACTGGCATTGTGATTTCCACCGTGTCCGGATGTTGGCACCGTGAGTGTCTGTGACGTCGTGCGCGTCCTTTGTGTAGAACCGCATCTGCCCTTGGTAGGCTCGTTAATGCGAGACTGCATGACACAATGGTTACAAATAAAAAGCCACTTCTCGGTTTTTCTTATCACTGCGGCAACAGGTTCGTTCAGTGTAATGCTTTGCGTTGATATTCAGCGAAAAAAATTGGCGCAGCTTGTATTAAGTTCCGCAAGCCTTCAAACAGCGAAAGTGGACAATTCTGAAGACTAATCTGGTTGCTTCTAGGTAGTTGCTAGGCGCCCCGCCACGGTGGTCTAGTGGCTAAGGTACTCGGCTGCTGACCCGCAGGTCAAGGGATCGAATCCCGGCTGCGGCGGCTGCATTTCCGATGGAGGCGGAAACGTTGTAGGCCCGTGTGCTCAGATTTGGGAGCACGTTAAAGAACCCCAGTTGGTCTGAAATTCCGGAGCCCTCCACTACGGCGTCTCTCATAATCATATGGTGGTTTTGGGACGTTAAACCCCACATATCAATCGGGTAGTTGCTAGGCTTTAACTATATGTGATGCTACGTTGTTCTTCCGTTAACTCTTGGCGCAGACAGCTGCCAGTTTCACCACACACGATACCGGCACGTCGTCGTTGGTTTACTTTCCATCACTTAGGAGTCTCTTCACAGCCGCAGTTGCCTTTCTCTTCCATTATTCCCTATTTGCATGATCTTCGAATCGGTGCTGTCGCTTCACAGCCATTTTTTTTTTTTTGCTAACTGTGGTCTTATTTCTTTTTAGTTGACCAATGGCCGTGATTTGCTCCAATATCTGTGGTGCATATCCATTCATGATGAGTTTTGGTATGGGGGGAACAAGGAAGTTGCTTAGACAGTTTTGCTCTCAAAACATATAGTTCCCCGCAGCTACAAGCCTTCACCTCTCATTGGTTAGCGGTGCACTTCAGCTCTCATCACTCGTTCACTAATCTCGAGATGCGACTTGGTTCTTGGCATTCAGAGAACAAATCGTCTCGTGATACCTCTTCACATGTCTCCTTACGATGTCTGTTTATGAATGCACGCACTACATCCGTAAGGGAGCTTTATTCTCGCACACCAGGCCGATGATACATCACTGACGTGCATCGTAGAAACCGTATACTAGCTCGTGGTATACCGGCTGGTCAAGATGACCCACAAGGGCAAACGTTGCGTCGTGACGCAGAACGAGGAAAAAGTGTATACTGATCAGCTCGTGTCGTCACAATTGATTCACCGTATAGGTAGTAAACAACTTTATTAAGGCAGCTGACGGTTTCCTAAGTGGCGAGGGCTGTCGGGCCATGCCTGGTTGCCACCTCTTCAGCCCGTTTGATGGCTCGGAGCTTGGTTTTCAAGGTTCTGGTCGTGAGGGTTCTCTTCCAGGTCTCAATTGAAGGTTACTGTCCTAGGAGGCTTGGTAGGGGAGGGTTCTTGCTGCATCCCCAGATGATGTGGTCGGAAGTTGTGGTCTATGTCTTGCAAAGGGTGCACGTAGATGTGAATAAGGCTGGGTATATGTGTCTGTATATGTACGAGGAAGGGAATGAGTTAGTTTGAAGCCGCCGCCAAGTGATTTGTTGAGCTTTGTTTAGTTGCGGATGCGGGGGTGGTCTGGTTTGGCTTGATAGCTTGTAGTTAGTACTGAATCATGTCGTGAAAGGTGATGAGTGGTTCGGTTGCTTTGGTATCGTGGTCCGAAGTCTGGCCCACCACTCGGTGAATAAGAGTTCTCGAGCTTGTCTGTGGGTATAGCCTGACCGCTAGCCGGTACAGAAATGAGGCGCTCCGGACAGTCGTCATTCATCATGACCATACGTGGATGACGGACACGTGAGCACTCGATGGCTTAGGTAGCTGGAAAACGGACGTATACGTCCAGTTTTCTGCTATCTTCAAGCCAATAATTGCAGTTTCGTACGGTCCTGTTACTGGGCAAAAATTGGTGCCTTGTACAAAATATTGCCTTAGAAACCTTGCGTTTATGCGGCCAACGTGCAAGCAAGTCATTCCATCTTTTACAAATCTACGACCGCCTCTAGTCAATAGAACTCGGACATGTAGTGGAGAAATGAAGGTACGAAAGCTCTTCAAGAGACGAGAGTGAAGACTGGAAACCTGTACTCTACATCCTCATCAGCCCGACTACGCCCACTACAAGGCAAAGGCCCCTCCATAATCCGCCAATCAACCCGGTCTTGTGCTTTCCGTTGCCCCGTTATACCTGAGAACTTTTTAACGCGGTGGCGTTAAAGAGCTCGTGTCGCAGAAAACACCGCCGCCGGCGTCGGCCCCATTGGTTCTGAGCGAAAAATCGTCTGTGCGTCTGTGACCAAAAAATAAAGTTACCGAGATAGCTGCGGGAGGCCGCTACGCGTGCACGCGCGATCACACTGAAAAAGCCGCGCATTTGAAAAAAAAAAAACAAGTGCTCAATGTCACGAGATGCAGTAGTTTCTTTGCCCTGCCACCCCTCCCTGCTTAGCTTCCAGGGCTTTCGTCGGGACGAGAGAAGAGATAATACAATTGCAGCACGCGACAAACCTTTGTATATGTACTTGCATTGAACGTATTCTTAAAGTTTTTGCGGCGTTAAATTCGTGAGGCAATGAGCTCTTCTAGTAAATTAGTTCTGTGGGTACTTGAAAAAGTGTTTCGGGGCCCTTTTAACGCATTTTGTTAGACAGGTGTCACGACGAAAACGAGCCCATTCGGCAATAATCGTGAGTTCTGGTCCAATCTACTGTGTGCGTGTTTGTGTGCGTGCGTGTGTATGTAACAAAACATATAAAAAACTATGCACTTGGCGGTTGAAGGGTGCACTAGGGGCCGGATTTCACTATCGCTTTCAACTCTTAAGGTGAAGCTTAAGGGTCCCCCAATTTTTTCAATCTCATCGTCTCCCCTTGGAGTGTTCGCCTTCTGTGGGGTCAATTCAGTTACCCTTGAACACAAGGCGACGCATTTCCTTTCGTGACGTTCATTTTTTTAGTCTTTCTGCTTATTTTCAACCAATGAGTTCAAACTAACTCGCTTAACTTTCTGTCGTGCTTCTGCCACATTCAGCACTTTTGAGTTAAAATTTCACTGTATGCAAGTACGTGGTCGTGATAGCGACATAATTTTTTTCGTACTCTACTCTTATTCGTTTTGCGATACTCTTAAAAATTGTAGCACTTACTGATTTCAGTTTGCTAACTGCTTGTCACATACGTTACTCACCGGTTAGCATTTGAAGTTGGTAACTGTTACTACCTCAATTACTGACGCAGTTAGTAATGGTTACAAACGTAGGTACTAATGGTGTGATAACACAGAAAATGTGCTAGACGCGATCATTTCGCCTCGCGAATCACCTGTTTTATAGCGGTCTTATTTGTGAGCATCAACATTTCGATTTATCACCGAGTAATTACACACATAATGCCATAAATCAGAACAGCACATACACAAGTCCACGCGAGAAATACAGTTTCTAAGCGCTTCCAAGAGTATTTGCAGCCCTAACTTCTGGGAATGCAGCTGGTGCCCATGGGCGGCTATGTTGTAGGATGTATAATTTCAGTTGGGTGCCTTTACTTGTACAACCCAGTTTTTACAAGTGCGCGAGGTAACGTAGTGAAAGACTTTAATACAGGCATATTAAGAAAAACAATTGTCTATTTTGCATAATACCACCTCAACACAACCTAATATACAAGACATACGACAGGCCAGTATGCCTACATATATTGCCTCAATTAACTTGAATGCATCCCCGTGCTACTTAGTAGGCTGTTAGACGTTCGTATTAATAACCTTCAAGGTTTGTTCAACATGTACAATAAATACGTGCATGACGAAAAGTTACCACCGGTGCGCAAAAGGTATAGTAACTGTTACAACCTTTAAGCTTCTGCTAACGTGGGTAGTAAAATGGTCGTAAAAAAGTTAGTAATGGTCCAAGAAGGATAATAACAGGTGCTGTTACTTTTTACTCGGGGTTACAAGCTTTTTTTACTTTTTCAGTGTAGTGCACTACATTCTGGGTCCCTCGAGTGCCCTTGGCGATTTACCCGAAAGCGTGCATGAATGGTGGCCAGACTGCTTACCTACCCCAGACTCGTAATCGGCAGCTGTCCTTGGTGGGGACGGGCCCGATATGCCCAGTGTTCTACGGCACAGTGGCTCTTGTCCTTTCGAAGAGCAGCTAGGAAAAAAACAACACTAAGGAGCAGCATCTGATACAGCGGCATATCGGAGAGAAAGAAACGCCCTTGTCGACTTCCTCTGATTCAGCTATTGCACCTCGTGGCACTGCCACGCGCGTAATAGTCAACCGCAGACTGTCCTTGCAATGCGGTTTT